GGTAGAGGATATACCACCATATAGTACCTGCAGAAGATTCTTAGATAACCAGACGATTTATTGTATTATAGCACTAAGCACAATTACATTTAGGCAGACATAATTACTTGAACCTTAAGGAGCTAGCACAGATACATCTGCTCCCTTTGAAAATCAGAGCAGAACACCTTGTCTTCACCCACAGACTGTGTGTATCATCAGGAGAATGGATGGCATCAATGTAACATGAACATTAACCCCTTCAAAAGCGTTACCTTATACAACAGGATGCACATTGGGAGAATGCACTTCAGGACCCTGCAGAGGTCCTGATGCACAGACATCTGTGGAACTGCCTGGCAATGCTTGATAATTCTGCTGCTTAGGACACGATATGAATATCTCTGACCCTGAGTTCAGGGACAGCATATGTTCCCTGTAAACATAACACAGTTTAATACTTGAGATAACTCAGTGGTTATCCAGGACGGCTGAGCTGGACACCAGAACTAACCCCTCCATCCCTTCCAATTATCTACCCACCCAACCATCTGAATACCCTCCTAACCACACCCCTGACCATCCGTCTAGCATCAGAACCAGTCCAACTACCCTTTCAATCACTTGACTGGTATCCTTACTACCCAACTATACCCCCTGACCAACCCACCAACTGGACCCAACTACCCCCACTTGACTACAGACCAAACCACAACCCCGACAATTCACCCATTCCCTGTTATCTTGACAATCTGGCTAAACACTAAACCAACTACCCACTCCCACTACCTAACTAGCCACCTGAGCACTCAACTAGTCTAACTAAGCCTGAACTGACCATCATTCTGTCCTCACACTGAGCACCATGACCATCCAACTACCCAATGACCACCTAAACTACACCAGACCACTGAAACTACTCCTGGACCACTAAACTACCCCAGGACCACCAAATTAGCCCAGACAACCAAACTACCATTAGACCACTTAACTAGCTCCAGACCAGCAAATTACACTCCCCCAATAGACCTTATCGCCTCGCCAACCTGAACCAAATTAGCCACACTCTTTAACCACCCAAAAAGCCCCTAATCACCCAACTACTCGTGACTACCCCTCAACAGACCCAACTACCCTCCCATCCAGAAATTGCTGTAATCACTTGACCATCATCTGACCAGACCCAACTGCGCTTGACTAAACTACAAAGTGACCAACCCTTCTGCTGACCACCCAATGTCCCATGACCACCTGAAAACCCCCAACCAGGCCAACCTAGCTACAGCCAAACCAGACCCCCTGACCACTTGTTTAAACCCCATTCAAACTACCCCAGTCATCCATCTTCTTATTCATTCAATTACTTATTCATTCATTCACCTATGCACCCATTCAGGAATTCACATCTATTCACTAGAAGGCTTGAGACCATTAAAAAGTTACCTGAATGTGGCAGCTCCTAATGTAAAAGTGGGGACAAGTCCTCTCCTTCAATCCGGACACTGAATTTTCCCTGGAGAGGTTGTGCTGGGCATTTCTGCCACTAGTAGGATCAGAGCCTACAGATAAAAATGGGTGGGATCATCAGGACAGAGAAAACATAGCAGCATTGTGGCCAAAATTGCTGCCAACCAGATGATCCAAACCAAAGATTCTCGGATCCAATGTACATCAAGTAAGGCTCAACAATAAAAACAAAAAGTGCTGGAGAAACTCACAATCTGTAGAGAGAGAGAGATCAATGTTTTGAATCTAATGATTCCTCTTGGCAACACCGCGAGACTCAATGTTGGGAGCACTGGATGCTGAAATTTCATGGCCTAGAGAATATGATCAATGAGAAGGACCCACACTTAAGAAGTCCATATAACAGTATTCCTCCTGCTATCAACAATTTTCCTCATCCGTTTAAACTAAATTAGTTAATATCTGTGCTCAAATAGCTGACAGTAGGATGTCATATAAATGGGTTGTTTGTCCACCGGTCCACAAACAGTAATTCTTAAATTTAGAAAAGGACATTGTCTCTGGAGATTTCACTTGTAGATTTCTTTATCAAATCTGAATTCAGTTATTTTAGCTAATTTATTACAGCTCCAAGTATCCCAAACTATCAAGCTCCCAGGTGAGGAGGGTTCAACTGACTCCCTCTCTTTATTCATCCACCCTCTCGGATGACTGCAACAAAGTTAATTTTAAAAGGATCCATTCCCTGTGGATGCCTTTCTCCCAATTCAAATGAATATAATTTTTAAAGAGAGAAAGTTTACTCAGGCTTTCTTGAATTAATGAGAGTGAGTTTATTCATTACTAATTGCGAGATAAATAATAATACAAACCATATATGCACAGAGTATCATCTGACCTGATGATACCACCCATTTCTGTCTATAGCTTCTGATCCCGTTAGGGGTGAGTTCAAAAAAGCTAAAAGTTTGGAAAAAATATACAGATCAGTCTCTGAGTTCTGAGGTTTGGATAGTAATTTGCAGATGACACCAGAATTGGAGGCGTAGTAGACAGCGAAGAAGGTTACTTCAGTGTACAACGGGATCTTGATCAAATGGGCCAGTGGGCTGAGGAGTGGCAGATGGAGCTTAATTTAGAAAAATGTGAGATGCCGCTTTTTGAAAAGGCAAATTGGGCAAAGCTTATACACTTAATGGTAAAGACCTGGGGAGTGTTGCTGAACAAAGAGACCTTGGAGTGCAGGTTCATAATTCCTCGAATGTGGAGTCGCAGGTAGATAAGACAGTGGAGAAGGCATTTGGTATGCTTATCTTTATTGGTCAGTGCATTAAGTAAAAGAGCTGGGAGGTCATGTTGCGGCTGTACAGGGTATTGGTTGGGCCACTATTGGAGTGCTGCATGCAATTTTGTTCTCCCTGCTATAGGAAGGATGTTGTGAAACTTGAAGGGGTTCAGAGAAGATTTATTGGGATATTGCCAAGGTTGGAGGTTTTGAGCTATGGGGAGAGGCTGAAAAGACTGTGCTATTTTCCCTGGAGCATCAGAGGCTGAGGGGTGACCTCATAGAGGTTTATAAAATCATGATGGACATGGATAGGTAAATAGACAAGGTCTTTTCCTCGGTGTGTGGGAATCCAAAACTAGATGGCATAGGCTTAAGGTGAGATGGGAAAGATTTAAAAGAGACCGAAGGGGCAACTTTTTTCACGCAGAGGGTGGTGCATGTATGGAATGAGCTGCTACAGGAAGTGGTGGAGGCTGGTACAATTATAATATTTAAAAGGCATTTGGATGGGTACATCAATGGGAAGTGTTTAGAGGGATATGAGTCAAATGCTGGTAAATGGGATTAGATTTATTTGGGATATCTGGTGTGCATGGACGAGTTGAACCGAAAGGTCTGTTTCCATGTTGTATATCTCTATGACTCTAAGAGTAGACGATGAAATATTGCAACCAGCTCATTGGGTTGATACCAGGGGCATTAATGTTGGCAGGTGAGCAGTTGATTTCAAGATGCTTGGTTTTGTAGGTCAGCTGAAATATCTTTGTCTTGTCTCCTTTTGACTATAGCTTTCTTTAACTTCTGGCTTCCAACAAAGACAGAGAGATACCTCCTTCTTTTTGAGCTGCAATGCAGGTATAGTTAAGGGCCTTCTCAGCTGTGTCCCTGATAGCACATCCATACCCACTAGCACACACAGACTAGGGCTGAAAATGGCTTATAACCCCTTTCTTACACATTCTTGAAAGAGAAAAGCACAAACCTGTCTCTCACTCGAACTGCTTATTTTCTCCTACGTTCAGAGTGTGCGATAACTCACAGATTACAGTCCAGTTTGCAATACATTCCTCCCTTTTAAATCCTTCCCTTTGAAGCTTCTTTGACTCCCATCAGGTGTGACATTATATGGTCTACCTTGAGGCTGAGGATAATCCTGACAGGACTTCTAGTCACTAAATTATATTGCTTAGAATTTACATTCTCAGTCATTTCTTCTGTTTGCATATCATCTTTCTTTAAAAAAAGTTCTATTTCAAAGTTCAACATGTCCGTGGGTGATAAGGCTTATGAGTCATCGTGATGACAATATTATTGATTAATTTAATAGGAGGTATTCATGAACAGCTATTTCACAAAATAAATGTGTAAGCTTGGAAACTACTGCTGAGCCTGCACCACACATATCCTTTACTTGAATACATTTTTTAACCTGTCTGTTTGGAGGTTCTTCTGCCAAAAATATTGAAAAGCAGAGAAACATCAAACATACTGCAGTTACTATAAACTTGAAAAAATATCAAAACACCAGAAAAACACAGCAGAGTTGCTGGAACTTGTGGCAAAAGGAATGTTTCACCCCGAGGAAATTTTTATCAGTACTGGTTAAAATCAATAAAAATCACCTCTTTTCTTTTATAAACAGCAATTATTTCAAATGTATTACATGCTACAGTTGAGAGCAATTTACAAGAATATTTATTTACTTTGTTCCTTGGTTAATGCTTCAAATACAGAAATGCTTTCACAACATAGTCAGTGATGTACCATTGCAACTCTTCCACAACTCTTTTCAGGAAATTTTGGGTCAGCTTAGAAATAAACACACTGATTATTTTATTTAACAAAACATTTACGATTAATATAAAGGTGTGTCTTTGGTAACTCCACGATTACTGTAAATTACAGATCTATGATATTGTTATCATTGCTGTTGATGTAAGTTTTCCACTGGTGCAGGCCACTCTGTTCACTGAGGCTTTTCTTTAGGGCTTCCTCTTGCAGTGTGGGAGTGCACTGACTCTTTTTTCCGTTACAGCTATGCAGACAAGGGAATCCTCATGCTTGCGACACCACTTAGGAGCTCAACCTTTTTCTGTCCAATTTAAAGAGAAAACCGTAGGAGGGTCACAAAGTCAAAACTTTTTGATAATGATGAAAAAGTGACTTGTGTTTTTTGAAGGGGTTTCCCTTTGAAATGGGTGGGTTAGTTTTTTTTCTTTCGTATATATACTCGAACAGTTGCTTTTTGTCACTGAGTGCCTGCTTTCCATTTCAGTCACAATACTATTTGTGGTGATGCTGCAACTGGTGTACTGAATATAAAACTAAAGAACCTGAAGAATTATCTACAAAACATACTGTGGTAAGTAATATTAATTGTCTTACACATTTGTATATTAATATAGGAAAACTGCATAAGTCATTTTGTCACAAGAGAGGGAGTCTACAGTCCCAAACATGTAGTTTAAGAATGTATTCTTCCAGCAAGCACAGGCCTCACCTTTTAATCATTTAAAAAAACATTTAAAAAACAAAAGATTCAGTTATAAAGCATTTTTTTTAAAAAATGTGATGGCTGTGATACATAGTCAGAATATAATGAATGGTATAGCATAATTTTTTGTTGTTTAAGATAGCATTTTATGTAACACAATGCAGAGGGAATCTCCTGTTGTGATTGATACATGATATATTTGCCACTTGTACTTCATATGGAACTGAATTAAATTAGAATGAGCTTTATTGTCACATGTGCTCATATGAGCACAGTGAAAAGTTTTCAAGTCACCACTTACAATTCCATCTTTGTTATCAAGGTAATAAGGTACAGATTCCTGAGTGCAAATTCCCAGTAAAGAAAAAAAGAGCAAGAAGAAGTCCAGCATTACAGACCTTCAAAAGTACAAAATCATAGTCTCAAATTAGCAAAATAAAGAAACAGGAATTCTATGGCACTCTCAGAATGTTAAGGAATATTCAGGCAAGGATCTTTTATTTTTCTCTCATCGATGTTTGAATGGCTGCACCCATGTTCAGATCATCTAACCACAGAATAAAGCAAACTATATTGTCATAGCAAATGTCTATCAGCGAATTTATGGCAGTAACATCACATGCCTTAGTGCTGCTCACATTTCAAAATATTAATTGAGGACTGTGCCCTCATCTTCTAGGTCCTCATGTAGATTATATTTATGGTCCTGAATGGGCCCTACTCTTTTCCCAGATACTCTTTTGCACTCCATATGTTTATCAAAAAAACAACTTGGATTTGCCTTTATTCCATCCACTTATGCTTTCTCATGGCACTCTTCTCTTAGCTTTCTTAATTCACTGTCACTAGTTATGTTCTGAGTTATCAGAAATGTTCAATTATATTCCTTTTGGAGAATGATGACCTTTTTTACAATTCGCCATTCAAGATGGTTCGTACAGCTGTAATATCACTGTACATATCTCAAAGACTGATGCCCCATGAATAATCTGGGAAATCTTAATTGCTCAGACCAATGAGTTTAGCAGATGGAATATTATGTTGAGGTTGTACAGGACATTGGTGATGTCACTTTTGGAGGACTGTGTACAGTTCTGGTCGGCCTGCTATAGGAAGGACATTATTAAATTGGAGAGGGTACAGACAAATTTACCAGGATGTTGCCAGGAATGCAGGATTTTAGTTATAAGGAGAAGCTGAATAGTCTGGGAATTTTATCACTGGAGTGTAGGTACTTGCGGGGTGACCTTATCGAGGTTTATAAAATCATGAAGGGCATAGATAAGGTGAATAGCAGAGGTCTTTTCCCAAAAGTGGGGGAGTTCAAAACTAGGGGGTAAATGTTTAATGTAAGAGGAGAAAGATTTAAAAGGGACCTGAGGGACAACATTTTCATACAGGGGGTAGTTCGTATGTGGAATGAACTGCCAGAGGAAATGATAGATGCAGGTACAGTTACAACATTTAAAGACATTTAGACAGGTATGTGAATAGGAAAGATTTGGGGGCTGCAGGCTAAATGCAAGCAAATGGGACTAGTTTAGTTTGGGAAACTTGGTTGGCATGGACTAATTAGACTGAAGACTCTTTCCATGGTGTATGACTCTCTGACTCTATGTGCAAAATACATTGTCACTTGATGTTGATGTTTGATATCAAACAATTTACTAATATTGTTATAAAGTTAACAATAATTATCAATAGATTTTATAAGTTCAATATTTGTAGGAATAGAGTCTAGGAATACAAATCACAAATCATTAAAGATAGCAAAGCAGGTTAACAAAGCCATTAGAACTAAAATCAAAACATTGGGATTCATTCCTAGAGGAATAGAATTCAAAAGCTGTGGTGGCCGGATTGGTTGTTTAGTTTCTCAATATCATTTGAATACCTCTTGCTTCAATTAATAGGCGTTGAGCAATTCAGCCACAAAATGATTTTGAGAAAAAGTTATGAGACGGGCTGTTCAAAGTTTCAGTGAAAGGTGAATGTATTTTGCCACAAGAAAAACAGGAATGGTGTCTTTATGGTTTATTACTTTCCAGAGCCATGCAAATGAATTTACTTTATTCACTTGTGGTATGTGGGCATCACTAGCAGGGCCAGCACTTACTGTCCATCCCTAATTGACACTTGAACCGCTGCAATCCATGGACTGTTCGTAGACCCGCAATGCCATTAGGGAGAGAATTCCTGGATTTTGACCTTGCAGCATTGCTGTGCTGTAGCCAATCTTGCAAGATTGATCATTTTACAACATCTGTAGAAGCACTAGCGGTACTCAGTTGCAGCAAAATTCGCTGGTAAAACAGTTAATGTATTTTACAGCAATGATTAGTATATAAATCACTTTAATATATTTCCCAATTAATTCCCATAGCATGGTACAATTGCAATTTTTTTTCTTCTTTCAGTCTGTTTTATTCCACACACTAAGGGATATAAATTATTGGTGGGTGAAGATCCAGAATAGGGACATTCATTCAAAACATTTACCCTGATATCTAAAACAAGAGTAAATCAATGTAGAGTTCAAAAGAGGCCTACAAGGAATGGCTTTTTATACTTATACTCATTGCCATCAACCAATTCCAAATATTCAGTACCATTATGTATAAATTAGACATCAAATGTGTTTATTGGGAAGGGCAGACCTGACACCAGCAAACTGTTAGCCTTCTGCCGTTTGTATTTGAATCCGTCTTGGCCTTAAGTTGTGAAGAACACAATCTTGTTCAATACCATTTTGATTTTAACTGCTCTTTGATCTTTCCTGTGTTAGTATATTATTGACATCTAAAAGTCCACACATTGCTTTTCAACATAACCAATGGCAACAGAAAATAAATGCTTCGGTGAATTAGTGAAGATATGGTAAAATGGGAAATCAGTAATGAAGCAGATTCATATGACTCTATGGCATCCTAAAACATTTGAATAAAGCACCGAGCTGTTATTGAACAATACAGTTCAGTGCAATTGTACCATGCTTGTACTCGATATTAGGGCAAATGTTATGAACTAATGGGAGATTCAATCACCAGTAATTCATTTATCCACAGTTTTACATTGAATTTACAGGACCAGAAACAAGTCATTTGGTTAATAGGTCTATGCCGGTGTCTATGTCCCACAAACGATTCCTGTCATCCTTACACATCATTCCATCAATATAGCCTTCTCTTCCTTTTTCCTTTTATGTTCCAGTCTAGCTTCACCTTTAAAGTATCTACACTATTTGCAGCAATTGCTCCAACTTTCTCATCACCCTCTAGGTAAAGATGATTTTCATAAATTCCTTGTTGAATTCATTAGTGACTACGTTGTATCTGTGACCCTTAGTGGAAACATCCTCAGCCCATCTACCTTATCAAGCTCCACCACAATTCTAAAAACCTCCATCAGGTCACCTCTATATCCTCTTTTTCTAGAGACATGAATCAGTCTATTCAGTCCATCCTTACAATTGTACCATCAAGGTTTCTGCTACAGAAATGTAAACATTATTTTTTGCATTTTCTCCAGTGTGTGTGTTTTAGCAAAATGTATTTCAGCAGATAGTATTGCATTGTAAATGTAGTCTAACTGAGATTTTGAACTTTGCTTGCAGTGTGACAGGCTCGTTTCATCCCAAATCTCGGTAGCTCTGGGAGATGTCCAGCATAGGACAACATATGCAAAGTTTATAGTGTTGTTGGTTTTTAAATAAATATTTACAGTTTATTCCTCTTTTTCTGAGAAATACTAAACAGAAAATTTTAGTTTCTGCTTTTGTGTTCATCCTTTTGTCCCACACTGATAAGTACTGTAGACAGCATACTGAGGCACGTTAAGCATGCAATCTATTTATTTTTGGGACCCACTTTTTGATAGTTAGCAATAGGAAGCATATTTAATATACCCACTTTTTCAAAATTTTGGAGTCCAAGATCTGAGGTCCAGAAGCACATAAAAGCACATGGTACATTGCATAACATAAGGCAATGTGGGAAGCTAACTTGTGATGAATGTTATATGATGCCAAAGCAGTTACTGTGAAAAAGAGATATGTTTCACATTTAACTGTTATATTATCAACAAGGGTTTGAGCTGTAGGGAGCGGCTGAATAGGCTGGGGCTATTTTTCTTGGAATGTCAGAGACTGAAAGGTGACCTTATAGAGGTTTACAAAATCATGAGGAGCATGGATAGGGTGAATAGCCAAGATATTTTCCTAGGGTAGGGGAGTCCAAAACTAGAGGGGATAGATTTAAGGTGAGAGCATAAAGATTTAAAAGGGACAAGAGGAGCAACTTTTTCACTCAGAGTGTGGTACACGTATGCAATGAGCTGGCAGAGGAGATGGCGGAGGCTGGTACAATGACAACATTGAAGAGGCATCTGAATAGAAAGGGTTTAGAGGGATATGGGCCAAATTCTGGCAAATGGGACTAGATTTATTTAGGATATCTGGTCTGCATGGATGAGTTGAACCGAAGGGTCTGTTACCATGCTGTACAGCTCTGTAACTGTATGACTCTAAATCATTTTGACACAAGAGGTCTAGAAATTACTATTGACAATATTTCTTTGTTGAGTGCTTCATACATTTGTGTACCATTTTTTGGCTATCTTACAAAGCTGTTTACCTCTTAAAATAAGTGGATGAAGCCAACATTAAATAGTGAATAGAGGATTATGATATTAAATTAATAAACATCTATCTATTAATATTAGCAACAATAAGTTGTACATTACAAAAGTATTACATTGTAACCAAAGGAAAGTGCAGTATTTCATTCACGACTAATATAAAGTTGTTTACATGCCAGAAAATAACACCCTTGTTTATATATCCTTACAAAAATCTACTCCAGGATTCAAGA